ACCTACACACACTAATGTCTGTCTGTATGTCACAATTGCTTCCTCTGTCTCTGAAGAGATTACACCGCTCCATTCATTTTTATTTGAAAGAGTGCATCTCACTTCATAGCATCCTCTTTTTATTAATATCCTAAAGTCTTTGAGACAACACAGTAGGAAATGTGTCATTATGAGGAAAAAAATACAAACATAAATGAATGTCAGATATGCCACTCATTTAAGCCATGCTTCTATTCTATTTTACGAAACACAGATACAGCATATGGCAGTATGTAATGTCCTCAATGTATTTTACATTTCTAGAACTATATCATCTATGGAGATGAAAACTGTACACTGAAGAACAGAACGAAAAAGAGACAAATCCAATGAAGGCATGTGAAATCTCTAGGGAGCTATTTTGAATACAATACCACGAATACTCTTAAGGAAAAAATCAGCAGTGATATCTGTTATCCAAATTTTCTATCTCCTTTGGTAAGGCTCTTTTCCAATCATGCTTTATGCATCACCTAAGACTAAATTTCCTGTTTATTGAAGAGCTATAAGTCTTGCCTCACATCTCAGTATGTCCACCAACAAACAAAGGATCAATTGCTGGACTCAGTCTAAAAGAGTTAGACAAAAAATGTGCATGTGTACACAACCTGTTTCATGGTACTTCATATAGATAGGATTCCATAACACTCAATTCTCTTATTAAATTGATACATTTATGAAAAGTATAATCATACCAAAGAATACACTTTGTTTCCTTTGAGGCTATTTGATGAGACATAAGGCAGCACTATTTTGTGCTGCTTTTGGCTTTGCTAATATTGCAGGTTTTAAGATCTAAATCAAATCCCAAACCTCTCAAGTTATTTATCTTACCCAATTGTTTTCTTTCTCATTCTGTTAACAGCATTCTTAGAATTAACATTTTATATACAAGAATCAGGAAAAAATGTTTCAGTAAAGCAGGTGAGCCTCACATCTACAACATTTCAAGCTCCTTCAAAGGGATTTGTTTGGGAAGTTGTGTACAACTTTATGACACCTTACCACCATGTTACATAGCTCTGCATTTCACAAGGAACGCTTATCACTCTGAGATAGACAAAAAAAAAGAGAAAAAAATGAAGGCATGTTAGATACACAGTTCTCAAAAAGCTTCATGATAAAGTGCTCAAGGCCCAGCTCTCCCTCAGCGGTGCTTTATGTAATATATGACCATCACGTCTGGCAAGACTTCCACAGGTCTGCCCTTGATTTGTGGAAGGAAAAAGCTGAAAACCTCACAACTATTCTTCATTCCCAAGAATTAATCTAAGGTTTGGCTTCCTGATGTTTTCAATTTTAAAGAGATCCAAATAAACCCCCAAAACCACACCTGAAACATCACTCACAATTATAGCTGATAGATGAGGGAGACCAAAGTCAATTCCCTCCCCAGGCATCCCAGAGCACTCTCCATCACAGCAGCAGCTCTAGAGTGCTCAGAGATGTGGTGATCTGAGACTTAAACTCATTCTGCATGGGCTGATGCTAGAATATGAAGCAGCTTTGAAATGCTTTTCCCTGAAAAGAAAGCATAACGTATCTTAAATATACACAATGCTATAAGCCTCGGGAACTATTATATACTATTGAAACTTCAAAGAAAACAGAGACTTCTCAAATTCTTCACACCTACCTGAAAGCAAGTGGACAGCTGAATGTGTAAAGCTTTTGCCCCTAGCTGAGCTATGCAAAATGGATGGCACTTCAACTGATCATTTCACTTTGACCCAAATAACTCCCTGAACAGTCCACGCTTTCTTATACCTCTCCCAGTACTTCAGTAACAGGGATTGAGATTTGGCAGCAGTAAATGTAATTTGACGAGCTTAATCGGTCTTCAATGGTCAGCTGAGCTTATCACACTTAACCAATAGGGAATACAAGCATTAGACCAGGCCAGAGAAATTTAGAGTATACTAAACTCTAATGGCTCAATACATCATTCACAGATGTAATAACTGCACTGTACACATATGTAGTGTGCTATATGTGCCAATAAACACTGGTAGAAGGTACTAGAAGCAGAATAAAATGTGGCCAGATGCCTATGGTTTGCTAAATACTCAGTATTTATTAAAATATCAGCTGATTTTATTTTTGGTTAGCAGAAGGATTGTACTCCCAAAAACTAATATTATTTTTCAGAGAATACCACAGAACTCATACAATGCATCTCCACACAAATCTCACCGCACTTAAATTCTTAGATCATTATTGTTTGTTTTTTTTTTTTTTAATTTAACTCTATATATTATTTATAAGCTGAGATTTAATACCAAGAGTGATCAAGTACTCTATTCTGTCAGATTATTTACCTAGTCAACTCTGACATCCTGATTTGAGTTCTGTGTATGTTCACATCACTATGAAATTATTTGATTTTAGTTTTTATTCTGAGGAAAGCACTGCATCCTTGTTTAGAAGAAAACAAATGCACCTATCACATACTGAATTATATATATATTTTGGAACACATGCATTAAAAGGTTGAACACTCACAAACATAGCTAAATAAACAAATCTGCAGAAAGCAGATGTGTTCCATCCTGGCAACCAGGCACTTGTTTCTACCTGTGTTAGGAGAAAACCTCTACCTTATGCCAAATATTTTAACTAGTTTTATTGTGACCAGATACAGAAGGCTCACATCAAAACTGCCCTGAAATGACAAGCTATACACCAACCAAAATCATAATGAAATCCAATTGTGCCTTTTGTCAATTATTTTAAAAACACAAATCTGTATTTTAAAAAATACTTTTTAAATATTTCAAGAGATACTCTTTAAACAACATAAAAGAGGTCAGTTATTTGCTTTTAAAAAAGTCCAAGAAAACAACTTATGAAAAATTCCTTTGTATACCAAGTCTCATTTCCCCCTGCTCCTTCTTACAGCTACTGGAGGACAAGCTGGGGAATGCAAAGCACCTACTGATAGGCAGTAGCAGTTGGAGTCCTCCCCTCCTCACTTTTACAGCAGCTCAGAAAACACAGACTGGGTCACAGCAAATATACGCTTACATTACTGAAAATAGTAAGTTAGAGTACACAATATGAAAACATTAACATTTTAAGGCATAGTAACAGAGATATGAGAGTTCTTAGGTAACTGTCTTTCATAAACTGTTGTTAGTGGTCAAAAGAAAGCGAATGGCACAGGGAAGCTATGTAATACACAAGCTTTTTCTTTGTAAATTTAGACTGTGCAGCCATGCTGCTTCTATTTGGTAGACTCCTTCCCATATTTCATGACTTGAATACTTCAAGTTTAGCAGTTACATCAAAAACCATAGGACTTTTATCCTCTAGTGATCACACTGCTCTGACTGATTTGCAAAATATTAATAAAAAGATAAAACTCTAAAGATATTCTCACTGCTGATCCACACTAATTACAAGTAGCTGCTCAACATTTAAATTTCATTTTGATATAATTTATCAGTCCAAATAGTTCACAAGGTTTTATTATTAAATCATGTGTAGTAGAATGCATTGTAATGCAGCAGTATGTAAGACTAAGATTACAAAGTATGAAAACATTACACCAATGCATAGTATAATAATGCATTATTTCCTGAACTTGATTCTATCACTACAGTTTCACCAATTCAAGCCTGCAGAAAGGTGTAGTGTTAATTCCTCCAGTTTTGCATACAGGAACACATGAGAAATACAGTACTGCAGAAAGCATGTGAGGGTCAAATTCCATCTATTAGAAATTTTCCAGAAACCCATTATATTAACCAGATCAAGCCAAAAATGATATATTGCACTGCATATTAGACTTACCTATAAACAAATGGTACAGAGACATTGCTGTTTTTGACAGAACTCAGTACTTCTCTTCATATGTTTTTATTGTTAGCTCTCAGCAGTTTTTGAGTAAAGCATCAAACTCATTTTGTGGTCTTCAATATAAATTCCCTAGTAAGTAATGCATCACTTAAACCACATCAGCTAATTATTGTTCAGTTTGAATACCTAAATTCTAATAACTTACAAAATGTAGAAATCCTCCTAGAGCAAGTTTCAAAAACGTGGAAAAAGGATATTGTAAAAAAAAAATTTTTTTAAAAGTTGCTGATGAGGTAATGTAATAAAAAAGGGTTTGTCAGTCAAGACATCCATACTATTTCCTGGGCTTTTCTATGTTTACTTGAAGTGCATAAGATAGGAGTAATCTTACGTGAAGATTCTCAGTTCACCACTGCCCTCTCCGATAGTCTATACTCACCTTTTTACCCCACTACACATGCACAGTTAGTCAGATCAAATCCCATTTGTTAAATGATCTGAGTACACAACTAGATGATGATAGCCTTGCTGATACAGAATTGCAGACATTTGAATTTAATGTGAAGAGCTACATCTAGTAACTGAAAACAGGAAGGAGATCATGGGTCTCAAAAGTTTTTGCTTTGAATCTCCACACAGCAAAACACCGTAGTATTTGTTGTACAGTTCAATGCTCTTGGAAAAACAAGTCTGTATTTTGCAGACTTAATCACCTGGGTATGTAAATGTTCACCCTATAAAAACAAATAAAATTCAGAGCGTGCTACTATTTGATATACAAACATCCTGAAGACTCATAACCACACTATAACGTAACCAGCCAGCATGTTACGGTTTGTAAAAAACAGAAAGCATAATTATCCTTCTATTTTTTGTGTCTCCTCAGAACAAGCTAGAATGACTTGCTTTCTTGCCTGTAAAGTAAGAAAAATATAATCCTTGTGAGGAGAAGGTTTCAAGTGCTATTCTCTTTTTTCCTTACCCTAAACGCTAAATATTTCATGGGTACAACTGGTCATTAGTGTATCCTCTGGTAGGAGAGAAGGAAACAACCAGTTCTTTGCAGAAAGAATTGTTAGATACTCAGGAAGAAACAGAAGGACACTTTCTTTCAAGATTGTAAAACACAAATAATAAAAATAATTAATAGATTAAAAACTCACTTGTAAATGTTGAGAGTTGTCTGTCATATTGTCCTCTCGTCTACGAACTTCTTCCAACAGCTGTGCATTCTTTTTTTTCTCCAGTTGCTGATTGTGCTTCAGATTGGCAACCTTCTTGTTTTGGTCCTTCATGTGTCTAAGAATTGTATGTACATATGCATTACTACTGATGACTGCAATGACATTTTTTCACTATAAACCAAGTTAAGACTATGACACAGGGTATTAACTCATCAACTTAACATGTATTCCTAGTGTCAGATTTAAACAAACTTTACCTTGTTCCCAGTCTGTCATAATGAAAATGAAACAGCTTTGATGTCATCAGAGTATAGAACAGTAAAGCAATTATTGTCACCTACAACATTCCTTTCTCATCGTTTGCACACAAATACACAGAGGTGCTTTCTGAAAAACTGTTGCAGCAGAGGAAGATTACAAAACAATCCTTTTTTAAATCTTTTCTTAGTAATTTGAAGTCTAATAACATAAGATCAACGAGTTTATAAATAACTTCTTGTGAAAATGAAACAAACTTTATCACCATCACATATTTTCTGTTAAGATTGTTCTCAAGTAAAAAAAATATTTTGTTGATTTACTTAGAAGTTCAATTATATTTTTCTCTGGGTCTTATTCATTAATCTACGAAAAGCTTTTCTGACTGTAGTATGTGGCATATATCTTTTTAAGAAAGAAGACAAGCCAATCCTGCCTGGCAGGAACTGGAAAAATATCCTTGCAGTAATATTTTCTACCTGCTTGGATTCTTAAATTATTTTCTCAACTTTCCTTGACTTTGAGGAATTTGTTCTCTTTTATCTATTTAAAAATAAAGTCATGTGCAAATTCCTAATGAGATCTACTCACTAATCCTATTTTGGCAAATTAAGAGAATATTATTCAATACCCAGAAGGACCACTGAAAACATTTCTGTTGCTTCCATGTTAGAGCTTTCAGTGAAAAACAAAGTTATAGGATATATTTCTTCCATTGCTTTCATTATGCTAAAGAAGCAAGGCCATTTTATGTTTAGTTTTATCACTTGTTTCTTTGTCCTACTGCTGGTTCTTTCAATAATTATTTAAACTTTAAAATTTATGATGAATGTTTGATTAGTAAATATTGCCGTGGTACCAAAGTACCAGTATCTTCAAGCTCCTTATGGAGAAAAAGAAAAAAAAAGCAGGTACAATTGATTCTAATAACAAAAATCTTTGCTACCTTAAATGGTTTAATAAATTTCAATCAAGAACTGCTACGGGAATCATCATAATTCTTTATGATCAAGGATGCTGAAACCAAATTGAACTTTGTGAAACATCTGTGAAATTGATTCTTATATGACCTCAACACGGGATGCAGTCTGCAGACAAATAATCTGAAAATCAATTTTTTTCTTCTGCCAAGAAAATTCCAGAAAACCTGGAATATGGCCTCCATACCTTTACATGCAGAAGCCTGGAGTAATATAATTTCCCCCCACTTAAATACAAAAATGTACTTTTCATTACTTGTCTACTTGTGGCAACTCAAGCTACACAATGTGACTGAAACATACATGTGTGAAAATACTCTATGGAATTTGATTTCATAGCAAAAAATTTCCAACACAGAAGTACAGAGAACACAGAAGTGCTGCTTTTCTCTGAGATCTCCAGAATGGAAGAAGATGGTTTAACAAACTCATAATTATTAACAGAGAAATTAACAAAATATAGAACACAACCACACAGCACAATAAAACATTCATATATAGTGAATATAAAGCTACACGTGCACCCTTCAATTTCCCAAGTCATTTCATTTTTTGAAAGTTTCAGCACAAACCTGGGGGGAAAAATACTGAACTTTTCTGAGCACAGTACAGTGCTACTAAATTAACTAACACTTCAAATGTTTCTATTTGATTTTAAAAGTATCCAAAAGTAACCCTGGCCATTCTATGATTCTATGACACAAAAAGATAATTAGCATAAATAGTTGTCTATGCTATAAGCTATACACCTGAGACTCTTTCCCTTAGACATATTCTTAGGCAGATAACAAGACTCTTAGGAAACAACTTTCTTCTAAGCTAGAAGAGTCCATGAAGAATAATTGTAAATATAGACCTAATCAGCAGAAAAATAAAGTGAATAATAGAACAAATGTCTTCTTCAGAACTTTATATATACGTGATGTTTGGCAGAAACTTTTCCTGTTAGTATGATTGTGCTCTTACAATACAATTTCCAATCTATTGCTGAATCAATGATAAATTTCTATTTCATCTCTGCAAGAAGTTGAATTTTATGCCTATGCCAACAGTTTCTTTCATCGCCTTTCCCTCTCTCAACTTCCTATTTCAGTTTCTAATGCCACAGCAAAACATGAACATTGTGAATCTTCAAAGAAAAGCACCTGGTGCCTGTGATATGCAAAACCCCAAAGAGCAGAAAATAAATGAAAGCCATATCATATTCTTTCTTCCTCAACTGATCATGTGCACATGGAAACTAAATAAATGTTACAGTTTAAAAGCCTAGTTGTGTAATTTTCTCTTACATCTCCCATAAGGGTATAGGAGGAGTTCAACACAGAATTAAGACAACGCATTTCCCTCTAGATTTTAATCGCATTGCTTTCAGATGGCTTTACAGAGTTCGTGGGACTGGCACATGGAAGAGAGAACGCAGTGCAGTGCCCTCCCTTTATGGAACATATACTCAGGAAAAAAAAACCCATAAGCAATGAAATGTTTTGTGATGAGCTCACTGTACACACAAGGGAACCTTCTCCACAGGTGTGCAGCATCTGCACAGTGCATGGACAGAAACTCCAGAGTTTCAGAAGGCTTAAGACTGTATTTTCAATACACTTTTAAATGCCCAGGATTTCAGACACAGAACAGTCTAGATACAGCAAGAATGTCAATGTTCAGATATGATGGGAAAAATATCAAATGAGTGATTCTAATAAGACAGTCCTGCCAACTGAAAAGCATTCAAGTAAACCAAACTCAGACCAAGGACAGAAATGATCTTAATTTCCAAACAATTAACTGATAAGTTTTTTTATAAACTTGAATTCATGTTACGGTCCTTCTCAAGTATAGCAGCTGATTCAGTAGATACTCATTCATCTCTTAGCTCCTGCTTTCTTTTCTGCTTGGTTGTATTTCACTGCTGTCACGCAGCGACAATTCTAAGAAATCCCCTCCTGGTGGATGAGCTAAAATGAATGGTGAGAAAATGGACTCCCACCGCTCAGATCACAGACTGGTTTGAATTGCAAGAGTCACCTTAAAAATCACTTAGTTCCAACACTGTCCTCTAGGATCAGGTTTCCCAAAGCCTGCCCAACCTGGCTTTGAACATTTTCGGGAATGGAGCATCCCAACATAGATGCTTTGCTTCATGGAAAAGGGATGCAGAGAAATGCATCCTTAGGAGAGTCATGAGTTTAACACCTTTTTTTTTTTTTTTTTTTAATACAGTGTAGGAACATTATAGAAATACACAACTCTACCAAAAAAGGTAACCCTGGCTCTTCATAGAAACCAGATAAATTGACAAGCAAAACTGGGAGTAAATATACATACAAATAAATGGCCACTAAATCTGAGAGTTTGGCAACAAAAATTCTAGTGGAAAAGATTTAAATCTGTCTGCTTATAAATTAATAAGAATAATCTAGAGTATATATTTCTTTGGCCATTATAAAAATTTTTCAGGAGATGTTTCTAGTTCACTAGATTGCAGTATCTTCCAGGTCAAACATATATGTTTTTTTTCAGTAATTGTAATGACTACATTTAACCACATCCTTTTTTTTTTTTTTTTTTTTTTTTTTTTTTGTCTGGTTTTTGTGGAACAAGATACAAAATGATCTCACAGGTCAGACTACAGTTTATTTAATTACTTTATTCCAGCTTTGTAAAACAAATATTAACATTTAGTTTCTGCCTGTATGCAAGTATCTTTCAGACCTCATTTCACAGTAGTGCATAACTGTCATCTACAGTCAAATGCTTTCATCTCTCTTGACTATAGAAAGTCACGCTATTTCATTAAATTCCCAGCTTTAATTAACCACCTGGATACCTTGGCCAAAAAAGTACGTAATGTCAGCCAAAACCAAGTGTTACATGCTCAGTATAGCCTGTACTCTATTTCATAAAGACTTTTTTTTCCTAAAGCATCCAAAAAATGCAGACATGTGAAATACCCCTAAGAGCAAAGTCTATAACATTTTCTGAAGCAACCCATCTCTGTAATAACTGTCATAACGTTAAACAGCATTACAATGGGACCAGTTGTCTGAAAGTCAACCAAAAAATTCTCCAGCATGCCAGGAATATGTGCACCTCAGTCTTAATTTTACAACAAAATATTCAATTAACTAGTATAATACATAAACAGAAAATTATATTAACAGCGCTTTTCTTCTTTATAATCTTAATGAAAGAAAAATGAAAAAAAAATCACAGAATACAATAAATTTGTCAAGGAAATAGTAGAATATTTTCTACAGAAATAAAAAAGTTTCGTAAATTTTTTTTTTTTTTTTTTTTTTTTTTTTACAAAAATAGCACTTTAGTCAAAGCAAGTAATTTATACCAAATACCAAAGTCTGAAAAATCTGGTTTAAAATGTAATACAATAAACACATTTCAAATAGACATTTCCACCTATTGTTCTAGGTGTGCATTAGAAATTATCTTAGCATCAATACTTGAAAATACTGTTCTTTTTTTAACAGCACACATTTAACCTTCTTCCTATATGCTAGACTTTCACAAAGGATTCATGTATGACAAATTGTAGGTTATCACATTACAAGGCATTCTGGGACTCAGTAGCACGCAAAAGACCCAATGCTGTAAATCCTGCCTACATGAACGACCATTCAGAACTACTCGTACATTACCTCAGTAAGGCTCAGCAGAAATATTTCCAAGAGTTCAGTTCTTACTGTCTTAAAAATTGAGACTACATAGATTCCTATTTGATTAGTAAGTATAGACTAAAACAATAGTATGGGAATTAGTGTCATGAAAACTCCTTAAAACTCAGATTCAACTTAACTGAAAGACAGAACTTCCACTAAGGTAAAGAGCACTATTAAGTAGTGTTTCTGGTATTTTCCTGGAA